GCACCAATTTACCAGCTCGCGCGTGCAATGCGCAGCTACTTACCCCCCCCCCCCAATCATCGGTGAACGAAACTGTGGCAGCTACAACCAGTGTATGACCAGTACGCGGTTCTTACAGCTGACAATGATGATGATGATGATGATGATGATGATACCTAGCTGAATGCAGCCGAATTTGTCGTTCATCAGAATCTTTGGCGGTGTCTGGCTATCGAGGGTGTCCCTTCCAACTTTGTGTCCCTTACGTGGGCACTATATACGAACTCCTGTGGATGGGTGCGAGTGTACAACAAACCTCCACCTGGGTTCATCACGTCCAGTGGTGTAAGACAAGACTGACATCTCTTTTCTTTCCTCTTCAGCCTTGTTATTGATGTGCTGCTTGAAATTTCTTTGCCTGCCTTGCCACCTCGGGGATCGAAATGTCCCCGGGACGTTCGCGCACGGGCTATATTGTTCCCTCTGGGTTCAGATCCTTCAAAAATGCAAACCTCAACTCACCGATGGTTGGTTACTCTGGTGGTGATGGCGCAATCGCGCAGTTTGTCAAAGCAATCGCCTTCATTGCGTAGCCACCCCGTTCCCGAACTAACTGAAGATGCCATCGCCTTCAAGGCATGACTGTATGTCTCACACATTCTGCCACTTTCATGTGATCGAAACTGTACGAGTTGGAGCCAATGCATCCATGGTACACCGTTTATGGCTGATAAATTGAAATTGCTGCAATGGAGATCTTATCTCAGGCAATATTCATTGTTTGTTGAAAGCAATCAACATGGCCCTGAGGTGATCCGGCGGAGCTGAATTGGAACTGATGTGGCGTAGTAATGGATTACTACGTTGTCTTGGAAAGAAACCAAACAAAGCAAAGTAAGACAAATTTGCGGTCGGTAGGGAAATTTGCTTTCACAATAGGAACCGATCACATACAAATACCATCTTTTGTGTTCCACTAGGATCGGTTAGCGGCAGTCAGTGACTTTGTGTTGTACCCAATGTCATCTGTTTGACCAGCGAATCTGCTCATCAATTGATCAACCCAGCTACCACCTTTACATGTTCCATAGCGAAATAACTTAAGCTTACCCTTTGGCTCAAGTAGTTAGAGTGCGAAGGTCCGTTGTTCGAACCCGACCTCTGCCTCTCGACTTGCCCTGTCTAGGCTTTCGCAGCTTCCTTCGGGTAGCATGGCAGCCAAGCACCGGAAGGTGTTACAGCTGAGATTTTTTTTCACCCTTTGTCTTCGTTCGTTTGAGAACGCGGCATAATTTATTTCCTCACTGGCGTGTTGGCTATCTCTGCGGGCACGCGCTCGTCTCCCAAGAGTTTCCATCGTACCCTAGCTGTTTTTGTTACCTCGTCCTGGCATGTATTTCGTCTTATCTTTGTTCTAGCATTGTGGACGAGGGTGATAAAATGGCTCATCGAGAGGCTGTGGTAAGTTGGACAGTAATTTGTAGTCGGTTATTGCTTCGTTACATTAGGTCATGATCTTATCAGCACTTCTATCCTCATTGAAACCTTGCTGCCTTTTTTAAGGTGCCTTTCTATTTACATCTGGTTTTTGAGAAAAAATCCGCAGTTTCCGTCATCGAATGCGTATATGTTGAATCGTAATTGTGCAGTTTTATCCGTAGTAGCCATCGTTCGGGCCCGATTGAGGCAGCTCTTCGAGACACACTTGATCGTGCCTGAATTGGAATGCTGTTATATCCTCTTGCTACAGGGGAACGGTGTGTAAGTGACCCACCGCCCGCTAGGACATGCAATACTCCCCTGACGTGGCGCATTTATTCCAGAATAGGGAGTAGAAGTGGTGAAGGAGAAAATCGGTAAGGATAGCTTGGCGACGGTAAAGCCTGGATATCCTTGAGACACGTGGACTCTGAGTTAAACACATAATTAAATTAAAGTACGCTAGACGTGGCGTTCTCTACGTCCACCAAATTGTTTTGATCCCTTTTGTGATGCCGTGTCTGAGGTTCTAATCGCAGTTCTCAGTTTTGGGCTGTTGTAGTCTACGCACAGTATCTCACCCCTCGTGGTTCCCTCGAGTTTCCCGGCAGCCATGTACCGGAATGGTCAATAAACAGCCAAGTTACAGACGGTTTAATGTGCTAAATAGTCTGTATGTTTTTGCGGCCATTTTGACAGTTCATTTTTTAATAAAAAATATGTTGACACCTTTCAGTCCCAGCGAATAAAAGAAATTACCACGATGAAAAAGGCCAACTTCCAGGCAATTCACTCCTGGATCGTTCGCAAATGCACTCTACTGGTCCGTGAGCTGACGTTTGCCAATGCAGAGGAAATAACCGATGAGGCATTGCCGTTACTCCTGCTTTTCTACGACAAAGAATCAGAGCATTTAAAGCCCAAGTTTCATGAGGTCGTTAACGCCCATCTCTCAAGTCATCTAGGTAAGTATGTTTGTTAATCATAGTAGCTGTATCAGAGAATAAGCTGGAAGTTCCCTAAATTCCCCTTCCTCTTCCATGAGGACTTCATGACAGCGGAAAGCCAAAAAAAATACTTTCCAAATTTTTTGCACTGAAAACGAGTAGTTTCAGCCTCACTGACTCACATTGTAGCTGTCATTTAACCAATTAGGACAACCATCTTGCCACCTTGTTAGCTTGCTTATTTTTGTCTTTAGGCCCTTCCATGCTTTGGGTGTAAAAATAGCTGTATATGAACCTTTGCCAGTCGGATAATATAGGAGAAATAAGTGCCCCAATGGCACATCATCATCATCGTCGTCATCATCATCATCGACAGCATGACATCAGTGTTCAACACCGATGCTCACTGCCGTACAACCATGACTTATTTGAAGCCTTATTGTAAAGAAAAGAGTAAAGGTGGACGGTGGATGGACTTAGTGCTAGCTTAACAAAATCATTCCGAGGTGCCTACACCTCCAGACATTCACTCAGGCAATCTGAATAGAAACTGACAACAAGAACGCCACTGACATCGGTTGGCACAGCACAGATTGCACAGATTTGACCGCATATTCCGAATAAACAATCCTCCTAGACTTTTGCGAAACCAAAACTTCACCGTCAATACTGATGGAAGACGCAAAACTTTACTCTTGTTTACTGAAGCTACCTGCTGCTTAGAATGCAGATAAGTTCTCCTGACCATCTATTATTTGGGTCATTCAGACCCAATAACTGTCGCCAGCTCATCTCCAAGGTTCACTTGCCCGATAATGATCATTAGATACCTAACTGTTTGGTAGAAGGCATACCCGTTCAGCACCAGCTTCTCGGAAGTATGATAGACGAATGTGGATACAGTGATCTCCCGGGGACTACCGGTTGATGTGGTCGGAGTGATCCCTTCTAAGAGGATGGTCTCTATTCGGGGGAGGGTCGGTCAGACCGTCAGTTTTATGTGACAACTATTCGATTTTTAAGGAATGTGCTATGTCTATCTGCATTTTGTGTTATTTTGCATTTGTTATGTCTTGAAGCCTAGCTCTTCCACATCGGGATAAAACCATTGAATAAGTTGCCCAGTTTGTTAGCGAATTTTCATTAATCGGAGCAAGTTGTTAGGCGGAATTTCGCACCGTTATTCGCTTTATCGCTCGAGTTGGGCGCTGCTACGGCCAACTGACCTACCATGCACGTGATTACCCAGAAAATCGAGTCCCCTTCCGGTCCAACATCAAGGTTAGTTCTAATTGGCTAAAAGTCTGGACCCAACAGCCAATCATGATCCAATATCCGCCGTTGCCAATGGTGCATCTAGGAAGCGTCGGAATTTCCAGAATGCTTTTGCCGCATACAGTTTATATACGACGCGCTGTACTAATGTTTTCGACCTGGTTTTGGGCGTTAATACACGTTGTTCAAATTTGGCGACTGTTTTGACGTAAACATTAGCTTGGAAGGTTCAGAAAATAACAAGCATAATGTAATCTTCACCCGGTGTTTTGTGACCTTGTTTGATCTGTTATACGCGATTATTACCTACGATAAATCAGACGTTAGTATATTGTGACTGAGTTGTCACACCCACGTGGTCTTCCAATAGAGAAGGATTGGCTTTCGCCACTTAGCTACGTTTACCTAGGGAATGCACAGTTAGATTTAGAAACCGGATTAAAATAAACCGTTTTGTTGGTATCTTTGTGTGTTTACCCCCGACGTCACTATCGGACCATCTTAATTAGAATGCCTATCAGGGCGAGATGGACCAGGTGGTTAGAACGCGAATTTACTGACCGGAAGGTCCGTGGTTCAAACCCGAACTCTGCCTCTCGACTTCCCTTGTCTAGGCTTGGGCAACCTGGCGGTATCCCAGCCATCGTGCCTAGTTCGCGTGGTGTGGCAGCTAGGCACCGAAAGGGTACTAAAGCTGAACGATCATTTATTAAAATGCCTAATAATAGCCGGTCTGAACATAGGGATATTTTTTTCTGCAAAAGGACGAAACTTACGTGACACAAGGAAGCTTCGAGGGTGTATAGACCGGGATACATACGACCTAAAGTTACGTGATTCCACTCATTTTTCGCTTGTATCGTCACTATTAGACTGTGACCGTTGAGTCGTATCCGGGCTGTAGAGCAAATTTTGGCTTTTGGAGTCTCCTTGTTCCTCATAACTAAACAAAGACTAATGACCATACTAAATAATGTTCATATTGCTCAATTTACATGAGAAAGGTAGTTTCCTTTGGGAACTCGCAAAGCCGAAGCTGCCAGGATTTTGAAACACTTAAATCACTGATGCCCATTAGTTGATTTTTTGCGAGGCGGTCTTTCCCGGAATGATTCCCTACTAATCACTTTGTTGCCTAATTGTAAAGCCTCAACGAAGGTGCTCAAAGTCGGTCCATGCACCCTCCTGAATTCTTGGATCATGGTGTGGCTTGCGTATAGGGGATACCAACACCCAACCTGTGGTGTCCCCATTTCAAGCAGCTGGCTGGAACTGCCGGTCTTTTGTTCCAGCGGTACCGAGGGGAACATTCTGATATTCTGTTGCACTGATGGTGATACGAGTAATCATTTAGGCGGTATGTGCGTTTGGAGGCGGGGACGTTCGTCAGTGTTTGTACGATCGGTTCGTTTTTATTACCGTACGAAGACAGACATGATTAGACCATATAAAAAGTGTGGGTGGGTTTCAAACATTGCAGCGTACCATCGTGAAGAACCTTCATAAAGCAGTGGGCGAAAGTTGAAGTCCCATCTGAAGTGCAAACTGACGCGTACCGTTCTAGTCGATGAGAGATCAATGTGAGGAGATATGACAGGATGGAAGGGTGGATGAACCAGGCGAAACTGGATGTGTGCAGGCAATCGAACAATATTATAAATAGGGTAGAGGGTGACGATGGAGTATGAATTAGGATGTGTGGCTAAGTTTAAACCGTCGTGGTGTGGAGTTCAACTAGAAAAACGAGTGAAAGAATCGCCAACAATGCATAGCACAGCGGTGGTAATGACAGCAGAGTATCCTTACATTTGTCATTCGATAGACAGAACCATCATCGGGAGATTGATGAATGCAACGAAAATGTTTTAATTTCGGAATACACGGAGTTTGAGTCATATAAACTGAAATCTGGCGTCGTGCAAACCTCAGTTGAGGTCAATGGCTAATGAGGAAGTTAGGAGGGTAGGTGGGGACAAAAACCCATCTTTAGAGCGGAAGTCGCGATAAAGGGAGTGACTCCAGAGACGAATGAGGTCATAGTGATCGGGAATTAGAGTCTCTGTTGGGAGTAGTACAGATGGGATGGTAGAGGATAAGGGGTGACGAATTTTTTGAGGATTGTCTAACCCACAGCTATTACAAAACACGAGGGGATTGATCATTACGTTTGCCTTGTTTTGCCATGTTTGAATGTTAGCTAAGGGAGACAAGTGTCAGGGCGGCAAACCACATCTATACATTATCCTGAGCTGCTATCTCCACTGCTGGTGACGCTGGTTACGTACTAACAATCACACACGCGCGGACGTCATGTGTTTTTTATTCCATTCTACAGCAGAGTAGTCCTTCTGTGGTTCACCGTGCATGAGCGGAATGGATTGGACAGTAGGCAAATACACTCATTTGCACCCTACTTTGATTGTAACTCAGTCGCAAATTTCGTACAACTGGGGTTCATGTAGAACATAAGGTTGCTGGAAACTCGGACGATGCACCCACTCGATGAACTCTGAGGAGTACGAAACCGGTCATGGGCTATCGAAGAGTTTCCAGCAGTCTTTTGAGTAGCGTTTCTTGAAGATTGTATGATCCTTTTTCCCTACACAAGCATGTGTATTGGTAAAGAAAGCTGTTCAGCCATGCCACCAGAAGAAAGAAGCGGAGGGCTGGGATACTACCAGGTTTCCCAAGCCTAGACAAGAGAAGTCGGGAGGCGGAGGTGGGGTTCGAACCACGCACTTTGTGGTCAGTAAATTCGCGCTCTAACCACTGAGCCATCTCGCCCTCACACTAAACGTTGTCCCCGGTGTTTCCACTTATTTGGATGACAACCGTCATGGGTTATGGTCTCGGTGAACTGCCGCAGTGTCTTGGTTACGTGCTGAAATGTTCCGCCAGGCTAATGATCAAGACCCTCTGCCGTAGCAAATCATCATGGGTTCACACGAAGAGTCAGATACCCAAGTCTTGGTTTGGAGTCGATTCCTACAGCAAATGGACAGAAAGACCTCCGGTGAACAATTCTATCACTGTCACAACAGTCCTGAAGCGCATCTGAAAAAAATCGTTTAGCTGTAACACTTTCGGTGCCTAGCTGCCATACCACCTGAAGGAAGCTCGAGGGCTGGGATACTGCTAGGTTGCCCAAGCCTAGACAAGGGAAGTCGAGAGACAGAGGTCGGGTTCGAATCACGCACTTTGTGGTCAGTAAATTCGCGCTCTAACCACTGAGACATTCCATCCCTATGTTGTGTTGTTGGTTGTTATTATTATTATTCGAATCAGTGACTTGGTCAACACCGAACCTTCATATGTTGACTATCTCCGTAGCGCATGCACATGTGTACCCTAATCCACACCTCCTTTTTCTTTATTTACTAGGACAAATCAACTTCTTGACCGCAGACGGAAACACATTTTCACATCCGCTGGCCCACATGGGTAAATCTGCTGCGGATCTTCCATTCTTTTGCATCGATTCTCTTGTGCACATGTACGCACATCCGAAGAAAGCAGATGTTTTGCTAAGGTAAGTGGATTTCGGTCGGTCAGGTTGTTAGCACTTTGGATGCAGTCATTTCAGTTTATCTTCTGCACTGAGGGAGCCACACTGCGTTCCTTTCAGCCAATAACGTTTCCAGTATGATTCTCAGGCTCTCCGAACAGGAATAGGGATTCCGCAGGAATATATTCAAGAAGCCGGGCTGGCTTCGCTGCTGAGCTTATCTGATGAGTCTTGGATGCTCTAAGTAGGGTGCCACTTCGGATATTGTCCCCTCTGGGTCTCCAGCTGATGTCATCTGTGATGCACTTTCGTTAATTGAAACCCATTTTCTTATTGTCCATCCGTCTTGATATGCTCACATCTTTGAACCATCGAGGTCCCCATACGCCATAAGCTTGTAATACAATTTTCCATTTCAATCTCTGTCACATTGCCTGGTGAAATGAATTAGTGGTTGGTTTGTTGCATTGAATATTTCATCAGCATGTAGGTGTCACTTAGTGTGGTCGAATACGATGACCCCGGGCCCCTCAGTTCTGCTCAGTAATGGGGCTAGTCAGAGGTTCCACTTCGTGTCTTTGATCGAGAAATCAATTGATACGATTCACACTTACGACAGCGTTATACCCGGTTTCGTTCTCCAACGCATTGGTTTGCTTTCTCGAATAGAAGATTGCAGCTAGGTGGCACGGCGGGAAACGACCGATCAAAGGATGAGTTGGATCTGCTTTTGTATGCATTAAAAACGTAATTTAAATGCATATGTTTCGTTCAGCTGTAGTACCCTTCCGTTGCCTGACTGCCATGCCACCCGAAGGAAGCATGAGGGCTGGGATACTGCCAGGTTGCTCAAGCCTGGACATGGGAATTCGAGACAGAGGTCGGGTTCGAACCACGGACATTCCGTGCAGTAAATTCGCGCTCTAACCACTTGGACCACCTCGCCCCCAAGGTCACAACAAGTCTTCGTCTGTAGATGGTTCAGCTAACCGCACAGATGTCTCGCAAGGACTTGCTACCAGTCGTGGTGTTAGGTAGCCTATGTGCGTTTTGGATAAGAGTGTAGACAGTGCATTCTACCTATGTACGGGGATTTATTGTAGATTTACATTGTGAAATTGTCCTGGAACCTTTGAATAGCCAGTACAACTACACGGGTGGCTTATAGGTAGCCTCGAGTTTGAGGTAGCTCGGCAGCTCTGGTGCGAAGCTACTGACTACGAGGTCTGTAGTTCGAACCCTGTCCTTGTTTTCCGATTATCATGTCTAGGCTTAGATAACCTGTCAGTATCTCCGTCCTCGTGCTTGTTTGACACGGCAGTTATGCATCCGAATGGTACTAGGTAAAGATAATCAATAACCGTTCAGTTGTGGCACCCTTTCGGTGCCTAGCTGCTGAAGGAAGCATGAGGTCTGGGATACTGCTAGGTTACCGACGCCTGGACAGGAGAAGTCGAGATGCAGTGGTCAGGTTCGAACCATGGACCTTCCGGTTCGTAAATTCGTGCTATAACCACTTGTCCATCTGGTTGCAGGAACGGTTCGAAAACTGAAAGATTTTTAACGATATCTCCTATGAATACTTTGCTATCTCATTCCATTATGTCCCAATTTTTGTGTTACCAATGTTAATAATATTCGTGTTTCCTCCAATCCTAATGTTGTCTAGCGATCATAATCACTTGGTGGAATTCATCACTGACCTACACTCAGGTAAACTGCATCGAGAATTTCATTACGGTCCGGACAAACCAGCTGAAGAGAGCGTGAAAACTAAAAAACAAACACCATCTGTACGTTTCCACGTTCTCACTTTGAAACTATCGTTTTGTTTTACTGTTTTCGATCGATTTGTATGTCGTCCGTGTTGCGTCTCTTGGGTGGTCCAAGTTGGGCATATTGTGTTTTGTATATATTCCTCAGAACCATTCTCTTCCATTGACGAACTAATATCTGGCACATGTGGGCTCTTAGGTGCCTCACTGGAAAAAATTGAATGAGACTCGTCTGCAACGCCCCATGTGGTCTCGGTCTTCTGATAGCTTACTTTCATGACAGATGACTAGCAATGGGTGTACAGGGTGAAAAGCTTACGTCGCGCTCACGGCTTTGTTCCATAGAACGAACTGGTTTGTTGAACCAGTAATAAAGTGGGGGTGTGGTCGTAGGATTGTTACCGGTTTTCAACCCTTTGCTTAAGTCTGCACAGTGGTCTGCCGGGAGTAGTCTGGTCATCGCCAACGTTGGCGCGCCGCTGTTTCACTTCTTTTTTTAAACTCTTGAAAACACAACATGGGATTGATTTACTAGTGGATACGAAGCTTCAAACAACCGCAACGAAACTACTCACAAGGTTGCTGAAAACTCTTCGACTCTGCAAACCAAATTGAGTGTATTTCTCGAAAAACTGCAACGAAGCTTTCAAAGACTGCACTTCCAAGGACTGAGTCCATTCGGGACGGTAACGGTTTTGCCCGGATCACTGTATTTGGAGCCCATGACAATGACAGGCTTTTTTAAAATTAGTACTACAGTGCCAATCTGCATCGGTAGCTAGAATTCGTTGCTGGACATTGTTAAGTTCTGCCTGACCGTTGTATTTATCCGCCTGCCGAGTCACTTCATTTATTTCAGCAGAGAACTTGTACATGTATATAATATCTAATTTCTGTCACGCTGACCCATTCTTCCTTTCGGGAATGATTGGCACTCCATATCGATTACTTCTTTGATCGTTCAGGGCAGAAAATTCGGAGTCTTTCACCATTTTCACGCTAGAAAGATACCATCCTTCTCGTCTGCACAACCGTTTGGAATGTAGTGCCAGAGTGAAATGCGCGATGTAGGAAAGTAAATGATATGACTCTTGTGTATGCCTGCGTTCACGCCCTTCCTAAGCACGCGCAACTCTTAGATTTGTTCGAGCCATCCTGAAAAGTTCCGAACTACGAATCGACGTGTCATTCATCCGTCTGTCTCATGATTGGTGCATTCTCCCCTGTGGAGACTCTCATCTGAAAAACAAATTGAAACGTGTTTTGTTTTGCGAGCTTCGTTGCTTGAGGCGCTCACACCCAATTCCAAATGGACATCTTTGCAAACATTGATCGATAGCCTATTGCAATCCACTCGCATCCGGGTGCTAGATTCTAAACTGTGTCTGATTTGTTGAGTGGTTTCCTTCTTCTTCAGTTTACTAGCTCTCTGTTTATAATCAACACGACTGTAGCCATCTTCCGAAGAATTCGTGTGCGTGACTTCTCATTAGAGTGCTTCTCTCCGAAGAGATATCCTCGGGTGAAGTTTTAGGAAGAACCACATGGTGCAGTGGACTTTTACTGTGTGTGGGCCGTCGTGGTAAGGAACATTTCTTCGCCCACCACCTGCATTATATTTTCGTAAGCTTGCATCTTCTATTCGGGGCACCGCTGCTACCCTCGTCACTGTGCGTAAGCAGACTAATGAAGCTGTGCGCGACACTGAATTGAGGATGCCGTTTCTCAAGGGCTTGAATAATAAAATAATGATAATAATAATAAACTTGAATAATAAAACTTCAATTAGAACATAAGGTTGACGAAACTCGGGGGGTCGTGGGCTGTCGATGGATTTTGTGCTACCTTATAAGTAGTAAATTACGAAACTTCAGCAACGTTTTATTGGCACTTACGCAACCCAGACAGGTCACGTGACTTAGTGTGGCGTTAACACACAGTCATTCGATATGGATAATCTAGAGTATCTGCTGAGAGGTTTTTCACGTCGTCAAGTCCAATGAGTATCAAGGCTTGCTCCTAAATAGATTAAGATTTCCACTGAAATAGACTCAAATGGCCCTGCTAAATCATTGGATGTGAGAGCTCTGCAGGGTGTTTTGTAGTAAACCTAAAGCTTACAGGAATTCCTATAAACTGCCACAGGTTAGGGATATCTTATGTACAGGTATGCTGGCCGTTCAATACAGTAACCCCACCTAAACACCCACAAGAAAAACCAAAATGTCTCCAAGTGCGACATTTCTAGATGGTTATTGGCACCAATTTTCGCCCTTTCGGGCTCGATCAACACTTCACTCCAAGTCTATATCGCTTGTGAAAGCCGACTCTAACTCAGTAGTGACGTTACTTTAGCTGACCCATGTTTTCCAGCATTCACATCCTTAAAATATGTGGGCTGCGGACGAACCTGCCCGTAGATCTTCAACCTCGTCCGACTGGACGAACAAGTTGTTCACCGCAATCAAGTGTATCAAACTCGCCAAATCTCTCGCTGCAATATTGTCTCAGCTGGCCCCCCATATGCATGGTACTGGTAACCATCCCCTGGTCTCTCTTGGTTGCTTTCATTTGCTTCCTAGTTTTCTGAGTGAGATAATTGGGAATTGCCCGCAAGTTAAGCTTTTCACCACTTGGAGAAGTTCCCTCTTAGGGGTGTACTTTGATTCCCCAGGACCCTGTCTACTAAGCCTTTTTCGGCTCAGCAGGCAGTCTGTAACACTCATGGGGAATTCTGCGAAGGGCAGAAATTTTATTCCGATGAAGGACAATCGTCTACGGTGCATACTTTATGACGAAATAGCTCATTTCTGGAATATGCAGTTTTCCGTGGAACCCCTCAACAAGCAGTGCCCCCATGAAAAGAAAACATCCATTGGTTTTTGGGTGCCATTCCTAGTAGCCTCAAAACTTTATTGTCATCTTCAGTATGCATATCAAATAATCGCCCATACTTTGTCTCTGATTTCCTTCTAGCGACAGGACCAGAAAACGGATCCGCCGGAATCAGCCTTCCGAAAACTAGGACCTTCCCGCATGAAGTACTCTATAATACACGACGAGTTCTGAACACGATTGTTGTTTGTAAACACACACGCACCTTGCTGTTCGCTAACCCTCTGTCTCTCTTCCTCTCTCACTCTTTCTCTCACCCATTTTTGGGGTTGAGATACTTTTTTCCACGACACACACACACACACGAGACCAAACAGCGCGCAACGACGTCTTATTTTCGACTGCATGTGTTTGTTCGTACACACGTTCTCTCCTCGGTGATGAACCCCCCACCCCATATGCCGTATGTATTTTCCTCTATGTTTCCACCGGTTTATTTTTATTACCTATTCCGTCTGATCTTCTCCTAATGCAACGCATTGTACCGCGCACACTGACCGCTNTTCTGGATCTGATCTTAACTTCATCTTTGCGAGTACCTCCTTGTGGGTGTGTCCGTTAGGTGACTTGTATGAGTCTCTGTGTGTGCTGACTTTGGGTTGTTGGTTTTTTCTGAAATATCTCTTAACTTATGTGAGGATTGTCGATTGTCTTTACTCTGCCTTGTAAGAGGAAGTCAACTTAGGAAGAACTGTTTACATTGACAATCCCTTGCTAGAAAGTGGGCTATCCTTGTGGTTAAGTCACTGGGGATGAGTCCCGAGAGATTGTTGCACGTCACCCTGGAGCTTTGTTCGCCTTCGTGCCATCAAATATAACCTGTAAGGTTGTAGGATCTACCTACGCTGACGATGAGGAGGAAATCTTTCATGTTGGCCGTTCAACCAATGCCTATCAACGCGCTCAAGTTGAATGTCGCTTCGTCATTGGTCGGGTAATAATCTAGTTGTCTCCACTAAAAGTGATTGAAATCCATGCAACGTTTAGGGATGTTCCACCATAACGTCGAAATTAGGTACCTTTTTACGAAAGTTGGCAACTGAAGTGAGCATCATTCCTGTTCAGAGTTAGCTCGTGACGACAATTCCATCGATTTTAGGCAAAGCCTGATAAGAATCCAATTGCTTCAGTGGTCACGATTCCCCAGATTGTCTCTAAAGTTATAGCGGATCGGCATCAGTGACGATATTCAGTAATTTCGAAACCCGAATTTTGATTGGATTAGAAGGAACTTCAAACATTCGAGCAGTTGGAAGACGAGTTGAAAGAAGAATGGTGAATTATTCAGAGAATAATAACTGAGCTGGATGCAAACGTGTTAGACGTTAAATTTGAGGTGGCGTAAAAGTAATGAACTCCAAACTAATTTAGAGATTGACTCGGACAATTTGATTTTGGAGTCATTAATCTGAAAGAATAGAATTCGATTTTGTGGACGAAGCCCAACTGCAGGTCAAGTTTCTAAACCCCTTTTGTTAAGCAAAGTTCAGGTCGTCTTGGTAATTCGTGGGCTGTCGAAAAATTTTCAGTAACCATATGAGTAGTGCACTAAGAATATACATGTATCGCGATATCTCGGATATCGTAACAACTTAAACATGGGGCGGTTCGGTGCAGCACATTCAGTTGCCTGACAAACGAGAGATTCAGCTTGGTTCCAGGTGAGTCTCTCGCAAAACCAAATTGGTTTGCAAGTGAATGTGTTTAGCTAATTTCGTGCAATTTGGTTTCAAGTAGAACATAAGGTTGACGAAAGCTCAGGGACTGCGCCCACCTGATGAACCCCAAGAAAGGCGAAACCGGTCGTGGGATGCCGAGGATTTTCCAGCAACCTTATGAGTAGTGCATTACAAAGATTTTTAATCCTTGTCGGGAATAAAAGGCAAAGCACATTGAACGAATCTCCCAGATGATTTAGACTCGCAACTTCTCGGTTGGTAGGTGCACATTAACCGTTCAGTGACGAGTGGCTGGTTGATCAGCAGGTTGGTTCACTCGAACAAAACAAGGTACTGCTCATCCTTCAATCAGGGGATTCACACTTTTTGGTCGGGCGTGGACAGGCCCCTCTCAGAAGGAAAGTTCATTCGTCATGTGAATTATGCCTCCTTCTGAGCTATTTACAACTACGTATGAAAACACTAACCAGTAAACGTAGTCGGGTGGATAACTGCCGTCTCCTGGAATGGGGACCCCTAGACTCAACTCATCAATGGTTAATGACGCTGGCAGAAATGGACCAATCGCGGACTCATGCATCAAAGCTATTGCCTTCAATGCGTAGCTACCCAGTTCCCAAATATGCCGTTGCCTCCAAGGCCTGGCAGTAAGTCCCACACTACAGATTTCTTGTGATCGAAACTATGGAAGCTGGAACCATTGTGCCTATGGCACACTGGTAAATTGAATTTGATTCCCAGTTCACGGCTATACCAATCTGAGGACCGTCAAAGGACCAATGCTTCACTGGGCGCAGATGGATGTGCACACGTGTGAGCATCCTTGACAAGACAAGAACCAAACATAGCAGTGGTTCACCAGGGCTGGGGTGAGTGGGTGCGTTTACGTCACACTGAACGAATTCGCGTGAGGACGTCAGTGTACTTACACTCAGTTCCACGCGAAATGACGTAAGTGGTTAGAGCGTGAATTTTCTGACCGGAAGGTCCGTAGTTCGAATCCGACCTCTGCCTCTCGACTGCCCCTATCTAGGTTTGGGCAAACTGGCAACATCCCAGCCCTCGTGCAACCTTCGGGTGGTATGGAAGTTAGGCACCGAAAGGGTGCTACAGCTGGACGAACAATTCCTCGTCACCGATCTGTTTTGCTCGCTGCATGGCAAGGAATCAGCTTGCAAGTGGGCCCTTCAAACTCCCCTTTCGTTCAGTTCATCGGAGAAAAACTATGTTGTCACATCTCTCAGCATCCTCAGTTGTGGACGTAAAACGGAGAAGATCACAGATTACAACTGTTAAGCGGCAGTGAAGCATCGGTGTTGAACACTGATGTCATGCTGTCGATGATGATGATGATGGTGATCGTTAAGCGGACTCTCACTAACTGTAAATCTGGCCTCGGTCTTTGCCAGCAACAAGAGTTGAAGGCAATTTTTGGGGTCAATAAGATGGACGGTTCTAGGGAGGTGTTTCGCTAGTGGGTTTCGATTCGATCTCTAGCCCGTGCAATTTTGTTGTGTTGTTATACCCATTAGTCGTTTCGGAATGATAGGTGTCGATGCGTTCTGCCAATGTACGTCCCAGAAAGTGCACGTCAACTGACAGATTACATTGAAGGCAGAGAGTGCGACCGAACTACTAGATGGCTTGTGCAGTGGAAGTCCTCTGATAGTACACAACAGGGTACACAATTTGTGACCTTTGACTACTTATTCACTAGCAAACAGTAAACAATAGAAGCGGAAATGTACTATTCTGTGCTTTCTAAAATGGGAGCCGCGGCCGACTCAGATTTCAAGGTGTGTCGCGTAACGTGGACTCAGAATTGCTAGCAACCACGGCGGTCATCTTAATTAAAACCTATCAACCGGCACTTATGTGCACAGAATTCTTGCATCAGACCGTGGCACCGATTATTCGACGGATTCTGTGGTCTAAGATTGTATGTTTTGCATTCACGACTGAATTCTAATTAGAAAAAAAACGCAGAAATCATATGATAAAGTAGCCGGTCTATTCTAGCCTGGTTTAAGCATCAATAAAAACGACCCTGCAAACTTTCTAATCTAGCATGGGATTCTCCAAACTGCTGTATGCAAGGCGATTTCACCCAAGAGACGGATTTTGGAAACGTTTCATTTTTCCACAAAAATGGCTCCTTTCAAAAAGAACACTGGCAACTTCGAATTCGGAACTAGCCAAGGAAGGGGGAAATGAATCCTAAAAATAGGGGGTTATTTAGGGCATCACAAAAAGTAGTTTACCATATGGTTTGAATAAAGGACAATTCAGTTGGTGCGTTGAGACCTTATTCATTGGTCGCCTGGGTGTGACTTGTATTGATATGACAATCATAATCATCATCATCATCAAAGATAGCAACATCAGTGTTGGCACTGATGCTTCACTGCCGTAAAGATGACAACACTGATGTTGCTATCTCCATTGATGATGCTGATGACAGAAATAAATAGCAATGGCACAAGTAAGGCTTTCTTACGAAGCCAAACAATCGAAACCGAAAAGGGGACCTCAAGGCTGCAAAGCAGGCAGATAGTGGATAACGCTGGGACTACCCAAACTGCCTCCCAGAGCAGTTTCTGAGGACCCACCAAGCCGAACTGGGGGACTAACAACATATAGTTACAACCACTTCCCTCTGTAGTTTATTCTGCCAAGTGGTTACTGCTATTGAGAAAGAAGCTCGTACTTTTCTTACGCCTTCTTTAGCTATGCTTAACTCCAAACTGCAGTCGGCTAGAGCAGCTTTTGGGAACCTCCACCACCTGTGGCGTAGGCGTGACATTAGCTTATCCGTAAAGGGTTGAGTTTACAATTATTCGATGCGCCATATGTTACTGTACCGGTCAGAAATCTGGTCGCAGAGGACGTCAAAGGACTCTCAGTGTTTGACCATCGATATCTTCGGAGCAATCCAGTGAGATGCCTTTTTGACGCCACAAGTGACGCAAATTAGCAAACGTGATTCGAGCCTTTGAGATTCTTGCACTGACTTCATGAGACACACTTCCGTCAGAGCTAATACAACTACCGAGGTATGTAAGGTTTTCTACAGTCTTCAGTGATTCTCCTTGAATTGTAAGGGATATGTTCGCAGATGGCACGTTTTGAAGCTTTGCACTTTGAAGGTGCAAGGCGCATGCCAAATGATGGAATGATGGTGGTCAGTCGATTCAACAGGGCTTGTGCTTCGCTGTGGTCTTCAAAGATGAGAGCGATGACATCTGCGTACTCCAGATCGATCTCACCAGGCAAACGAACTAAATTAAGTACCCATCGTCTGCCTTGAGCTGTAAAGCTATTTGTCCGATATACTATCGCATTTCAAAAGACGACCTGTCTGACTCGTGACATGGTTGTTCTTAATACACGGGCTGAAATCTAGCATTTAGACGAATACGTTATCCAGATTAGTCCAGTTATTCATGTCGCCTAAGCGAGTAACGCTCACACCAATTACGGGTCGGGGCTCTCCGGTAGATTCTGGAAAGCTTGATAGCACTTGAATTATCCTGACTCTTGAGCGATTCTCTCGGCATCTTACGTCACGGAAGAGCTGGCATTCGTTCACAACATGCACAGAACTACAACCAGAGGAGTTATTTTCACACAAACAGGGAAAACCAGTAATAGTACAAACTTCGCTGCAAAAGAGTGCAGTCCACCAGTGACGTCCAATCCGGTGTTCAACTGGGGTTGATGGGAACTCGGGAACTACGCCTGCATGATGAGCCTCGAGCTGGACGAGACCAGTAGCAACCGGCTACCCCAGGATCGGTTGAGCGCGCGAGTACTAATGATGACCGAGAAGCTGTTGTTTCTTTCTGTTATGCATGCAACAATTTATGCAAATGCGCTAAACCTTGTCGCATCCCAATCCATCGAATATCTAATGCAACCACTGGCGAGGACTGGTTCATTTACAAAGGCGTCACCACTAATTTGCCTGTAGCCCTTCTTTGTGGTGAGGTTACCATAACAACGCCTTCGATATCTGTTCGTGAAGTGTGGTTTGTCAAATAATTTGTTCACTCAATTTCGAACCAGTGTGTTTCTTCAATTGATGGATCAAAGTGCTATCAGATGTTCTAACATAGTGGTTTGGTTGAAAGACGAAATCGCACCTTAAAGGAGACCAAATAGACAATTCAAGCGACAATGCATAGGAAGATTCCTTGTTTTCAGATGTGACAGCCACCGCCCTAAACCAAATTGTACGACAGTCGAAATATCAGCGATTCGAACGTGA